CCAAAAACATTCACCCGCATCCATTCAGTATCTATAATGGCAGCTTACATTTAATCATGTTTACTCACACTCTATGATCATAACTCACAGTAACCAAGATAAATTCAACTTCTGTTTTATCTTTCATTTACAAACAGAATCGTTCGTTTCATGAATTTGTCTTAATATCATGATATACATTTACGTATTTGTTATCTTTCTTTTTACTCTTCTTTTTTTTCTTCTGTTTTATGTTGGTAGAACTAGCCTATTGCTGCTAGGCGAAGTTGTGCGTCATAAATAACAATCAAACAAGAAAAGATTACAGTATCTTACCATTTTTATTTAAATATATATCTACAGTATATATATCTTTATTCTGTCATACTGACTTATATTTTCGCTCTATATCAACAATGAAATTTCTACGATTATTTTTCTTCTTTTGTACCGTTTCAGCTCATTTTCAAAATAAACACGTGCATGTAAGTATAATGATGAAGAATAGAAAAAAAATATCATACTAATCTTGTTAGAATGTAGAAAATATCTTGAGAACATCAAGAGTAGAAAAAGAACTGGATTGAAATGCAAGTCTGTAGTACACGAAAACATAAGTATATAGAAGTAGTGTTTAGGACAAAAGGCATTAGAATCGGAAAGAACTCTCAGAAATGGGCAAGCACGAATTTTTTCGAGTAGGATGTGGATGTGAGTGTGCAATGTAGGTATACTGGTGTGATTGGGGAGACGACACACACTTTGCACACACATGTGAGGAAGTAATATCGAAATCCTGTGGCTTCGAGTTATGTTGGCTTTCAGCAAACTCGATCAATAATTTCATTATCGATCGTTCTGCTGACGCAAGCCAGATGATTTGACTAAATAAGAATCTACAGTGACGTTCTAAAGAGCAACTAAGAATAGGACTGAGTTTTATTCAAAATAGTAAATACTGCAATACATGTGACACTGACATGATAGATATTTGTTTTACATGTGCTTGTGTGCTGATAATATACTACTAACGTGTAAAACAACGGTACAATATAAAGAGAAAATAATGAAGAAAAGAGAAAAGTGACTCAAGACATGGGAAAGCGCATATTATATTGATCAATTATGAAGGAGAATGGATTCAAAAGGTGAACAAAGAAACATAGAGTAACAAAGGTGGCTTTGATCTCGAGTCGCATTAGTTCATATATTGAAAGGAATATTTTTCTATAGCTGTCTTTGTTCTCAAACATTTATATTGCTGACGGAGATGGAAAAAGTGGACTACAGTGGTTCCCAGTGATTCAAAGTGAATAATGTGGACCAAAAAGAATAATTTGTTTCTCTTCCCCAAGTAATGATGAGACGATTAAACGAGAGTGCACCTCTCTTCTCTCTCCTAATATACTACAAGATATTGACTTTGACGCTTTATCAACTGATAACACTAAAAAGAGAAGACTCATAACATATACTCATATGCAAACACACATGCACACCCATCCACACCCACATTCTGTCAGACTGGTGACAATTCAGCTGGACATCCAGTCAGATGATACATAAGCACGGTCGTCGAATTTAAATTTCAAGATCGAGAAGTATACCGAATGACTTTTATTCAAATCGGAAAACCATTTTGCGGTTTTTTCTCGAAAGAAAACTCACATTTTCATTCACTTAAGAGCTTGCTATATTCTGTTGCTAAATTGGTAACGGTAAAAGTTTTCCTCTAAGTGATACATAAGAAAAAAGAAAATTGGATAGACGCTATACTGCCAGTCATTTACGCTCATTCATCAAAATATAGTGACCAAATATAGAATGACTTTTATATAAAAATCAATTTGAACCGAAACAACATGCTTATATTTAAATAATAAACGATTATCTACGTCGTTTGTAACACTTTTGCAACATGACTATATTTTTCCGATGATCAATCTTATTTCGACACACATGTATTAGTGAACAGAGCACTTCTTACAACTTTGAAAACTACTGTTTAGTGACTTTGTTAGGTGATGATGAAGTAGAGATCGATTTTGAAATGATTTTCAAGAAAACAGCATTAGGAATTTTTAATAGTCGTGGTAAAGACTGTAGCGAAAGATTTTTCTGTGGTGAATGAGACACTCGACTAAGATCATCTTCTTGGAACGAAAGCATTTGATAAATACACAGTAAGCGCTTTCTTTTTTACCTAAAATCATACAAGTTTTTGACATGGATTTTGTTTATAAAAATTGATAGTTGTAGTTTTAGAGAACTCAAGAAGATGAGACGTATTTTCTTATTGACTGCTACGTCGATCGAATGATTATAAAGCTTTTTTCTTTTGTCTTGTGGATTCACAATGCCACTAAAATTCAATGTGATAAAAGTCTATAAAATCAGGAGAAAAATCTAAAAACTAGAAGTCTCCGAACTAAATCAAGAGATTTAGCTACTCTGTATATAAGTGATTAAATAATGGGTCTTTTTTCTAATTCATTATAATTGTTTGGGTCCGATGTTGCTATTTAGAAAAAAGATTATACAGAATGGAAAAAAGTGTTTGATTCAAAAGATATTACTCAAACACAAGTATTAGTTATTGGAGCAGGTATATCAGGCTTAGAAGCGGCTCGTTTATTGAAACAGAATGGAATACAAACACTTGTCATTGAAGCACGAAATCGTACTGGTGGTCGAATCTGGTCGGTTCAGTCAAAAAATGGGCACGTACTAGATTTAGGTGCAGCATGGCTTCATGGTGTTAATGGATCTATACCAATTGGTTTTCTATCGAATCCTCTATGGGACCTTGTCCAGCAAGCTAAAATTCCTACTCGCAGTACAACAATCAGTGATGTACAAATTTTCAATATGTCTGATCAGACCATAGCAGAAAGTCTAGAAATATGGTTTGATGAATATATTGATTACATTGAAGAAACGACTAAATTATCGGGAGGACAACAATCTCTTCAGCAATATGCTGAAACATTTTCTACCATGAAAAATTTAACTGGCGAAAAGCGAAATGCATTTTTCTCTTATCTACATACGGCTATCGAAGGTAATGAAGGCATCGAAATGAGTAAGATTAATGCAAAGAATTTTGTTGATATTACCGGTGTTTATTATGGTGTAGAACCTGTATTTCATGATACTGGTTTTCACGCAGTTATCGACTACATAGCCAAAGATTTTCGAGATGATGACATACGTTTTGGACAAATCGTAAATAACATAACTTACGATCAAGATTCAGTTGAAGTACAAACTACAAATGGGCATATCTATCGTGCGCAATATGTCCTTTTAACAGTATCATTGGGTGTATTAAAAGGTCGACAGATTCTATTCAATCCTCCATTACCACAATGGAAATTGAATGCTATCGACCGACTTGGATATGGACTTATGAATAAAGTTATTTTAGTATGGGATACAGCTTGGTGGAATTCGGCAAATTATTATTTTATGCGTGTTTCATCAAAGCCATCTCCTTTTGGTGTTTGGGCTAACGCCAATAAATGGAACGACCGACCGGCTCTGTTCTGTTTCTTTATTGGTGATGAAGCCAATCGATTAGAAACCTTAACAAATGAGCAAGCTGTTGAAGAAGTGCGAAATGCATTACAGCAAATGTTTCCAAATCAAAGTATTCCGATGCCTATCGATAGCTTTGTAACACGCTGGAAATCAGATCCATTTTCCAATGGTTCATATTCGTACATATCTCTACACCAAACTTATGAAGATATGATATATATTAGTAAACCAATTGCTAATAAACTACTCTTTGCAGGCGAAGCCACATCCCAAGAATTTTATGGCTATGCACATGGGGCTTTGCTAAGTGCACGACGAGAAGTTACTCGATTATTGCATGTTTATGAATTGCCAGTAAATCAATCGAGGCCTACATCTTGGTCAACGGCGATCAGTCCATTCGAAATCATGATTATTATTAACGTCATCTTTTTGAAACTTTTATCTTATTTAATGAACTGATTTTATTTTATTTTATTTGTTTGATATTCTTTTAAAAAAATCATTGAAAATTAATATAACAGACAAATTTAAAACTGTTTTATCAACTGAGAAGAGTATCTATTTTGCTATTGTACGCTACGAAATTTGTTGCCGAACACATTTTCATATTTGAACCAAAATTAAGTTATAATGCTTCACTAATAGGTTCTCTCGTTTGCTTTGATCAGACACAAAAAATATAGTTCTTTCATAACATTTCATTTTTAGAAAAAAATTAATTTGATTTTGACTTCTTTGGTTCGATGCTTGGATTGTTTTGTATGATTTAAAATTTAAAGATGATTTTTGAAAATTGACTGAGTCATTTTGATTTCTGAAACATCATATTTCTTTTGTGTTACTATTGATTAGATTTTCTTTTCCAAATATAGTACGTTGAAACATAAGACATGTTTTATCTGCTCAATTGTTTACAACTGTAAAGAGAACGATGAATTATTTCTTTTCAATCGTTCTATGGAGAAAAAAAAATTGGAACTTTATGTAGCTTTTTCTCGAGTAAAAAATATCCCAAAAGTTAGTCGGCACAAAAAATTATAAATTGCTTTTGAATCGATAGTTTTAGCAACATGCTTAAATTCCATTATGATTCGATGTGATCTTCCGTAAGGTATTAGTTTTCATAATTTTGTTTGCACTTGTTCTTTTTTCAAAATGATTGCATTCAGCTGAAATACACACGCTTTTTTTATTTTCAACTATTTGAGATCAAAAGAAAAACACCAAATAGAATTTCTATAGGAATCATTTTGGTGTTTTTCTCATCCAGGATGCAGCTTTAGGTATGTGAATGCTGGTGAGCATAAGTCTCCTCGCTACTCAAAATCAGTCACACACCATCTCTCATCCCTGCCCACACCATCCAATGTGAATGAATATTCAAGTATCTCTGAATTTATTTTTTATTATCGTTCATCATTTCTAGTATTTCTGTTCTTTTTCTTATGAATTTGTGATCTATACCTTTTCTTTTTCACTTACATCAAGTAGAGTGTATTCACTTCGCTGGCGGTTAACTCTCGACTATAAATTCGAAGATTATCCATTTCACCATCAAATGGCAATGTTGATCCCAAAAGACCGACAACACAGAAGCCAGCGCCATTGAGAATAGTACCTAATGTAACATAAACTTGCACTCCACTGGCTGAATAAGTTGAAGTTGCTACAAGTTCGGATCCTACTAAGACACCGTTGATATAAAGTCGAATTCCGTTAGTTGAACTCCATGTTTCAACAATGTGTGACATCGAAGCTATCGCAAGACGAGGACCCAAGACGGATTTTGCCATACCACTCCATATTTGAGCAACAAGCGAACCATTCGTAGCAAAACCTATGAATGGCAGGCACCAGCCACCACCACCTGATACTGTTGATGAAACATGAACTACAACACCAGTTAAGTTTCGAGGGCGAATCCAAAGAGAAATTGTGAATGGTTTATTGGTAGTACCGAGTCCAGTGAAACTCGACGTCTGAGAATAAGACGATACAGATCTATTGAAAGAGATCGCTTGTTGAGAATGACCAGAAGATACAAATGATGCGTTAGATTGACTCTGAAGGTCATTAGGCCCTGAATCTATCAGTTCGAATCCGCTATCAAACATGAAGCAAGCAGCCAATGAAGCATCATCCAGTATTTCGCACGATGATTTTGCTTGATTGGCAATAGTTAATTCATCAATATAACCCTAAGAAAATAGTTAAAGTCTTCATTTGATCAGTTACCTCCGTATATAGGTACATAATCGTATTAAACTTTGATGATCTTATGAATAATTATTTCTCTATGTCGACCTTTCCCATGAGACAAAAAAACTTGAAGAAGCTCAGATTCATCGTTTATAGATGAGCAAGTATTGCTATTTCCTTAAGCTTTTTATCAGTAGTTACTCATTTTTATAGAAAGTGAAAAACAAAGAATCTTTTCTTGGCATTTTGTTTGTAGCTTGACCAATGGTCATGAGAATGGTTTGAGTGTTTTGATGAAGACAAATGCATATTAATGCTGTATGATAGACAGATCTCTTTCATAAAATTGAAGATTTTCGATTTTTTGCAGACGTGTTGCACAAGTAACATGTCAGAATATGTGATAATATTTTACCTGAAATGAGTTGTTGCCGTAAGCTGAGACAATACCAGGAATACTACCGATTGTAACATTGCCTATACTACTCTTGAGAGGTGCTGTCGCGATGCATGCATTGTCGAGTACACCATTGAGATAGAGTGACTGAATAAGTGTAGTTTGATCAAAGACAAATGCAACATGAGTCCATTTGTTGGCGGTGACAGAACCATTGCCAAGGCAACTGTCACCGAAAAAAGCCATATAAAGCTTGTACAATGAACCAACTTTTCGAATAGTTAAATGAAGACATTGATTACTTCCAGGATGTGTACATAGACCAAGAATACTATGATCCATTGTGTTTGGAAATCCAGTTGGATAAAGCCAAGCTTCGATTGTAAAACTAACATTTACCAAAGGAATATATGAAGTAGTCACATATTGATTGGATATTGAACTCAATGAGAGAGCTTTGTTTACATAACCAGAGTTAACAAAGGACGGGCTATTTATTGGTGTTGCGTTGAAATTGTTCGTCTTATCAAGAAAAGTATTTTCAAATGACCATTTAGCGATGAAATCGGACGAAGACATAAATGTTTGATTACCACATATAATTTTCCATAATGTTCGGATAGTGGTTGTCGCTACAATAAATAATGACCATTTCTCTAGTTAGCATGCCAGATGCATTCGTATTAGAAAAAACTTTTAGTGCAATGTTTGCAGAATTCAAACCCAAAATAAGATAGAATCTCTCTAGTCATACATGGGAATAACTTTTGCCACATTCATCATGATCTGAGATGAAGCGGAAATGTTCATCACTATCTGTGATAGAGTGACTTTTTCGATATATATATCATAGCTGATAAGTCTGACAAGAAGGCACCATTATCTCACTATAAACTTCAATATTCATTCATTACGACTCCTACAGATCGTGACAGACAGGCAGTCCAACATGATCGACCATAATAGGGAGACAAAATCGATAAAGCTAGCGAGTGTTATAAGGATTTATGTGGCTACGACTCTCTTGGGGACGAGTGAAACGAACTCATCGTGTTTCGAAATTCAGTCATACAAAGATTATGTTAAATAATTTCTCTAGTTACATAGTAATCTTATTATTTTAACTTACTGCTTGTCGATGTAGTAGTACTCGTTGATGTTGATGACGTGGTACTTTTTGATGCGGATGATGTTGTAGTTATTGATGTTGATGTTGATGAACTTGAACTGGTTATTGTTGATGACGTTGTACTCATTGTGAAGGCTTTATTTTAGAAATAAACATAAAATGAGAGATATTTTCTAGTGTAATGTTGTACTTGTTATCATCGTTGAAACTGTTGTCATGTTTGTTGGAAGCGTAGTCATTGTTATTTTCGATGTGGTCGCAAAGGCAACAGCTATGGTAGCTATTGCAAATCCAAGAATCAGTATCCCAAGAACAGATAAAAATCCACAAAGAGGTCCGCACGAACAAGTAAGAAGCCTATTTTTTGTGGAAAATGTCATTAAGACGGGAAATAGACAATCAAGCTTACATCCGATTTCGGTGCGTCTTCTTATTGATAAAAGTTGTATGAAACTCACTGGACGCATCCATTTTCTTTAATCCATTGTGTGTCTATTTTTGTCGAGTAGAGATGATGCGATGTGAGAAGAAAACTTACTTTGGATTCTTTTTTATCATTGAATTGCGCTGAATTAGTCACACTCGAATTCCCCAGATGTTCAAAAGCATCAGTCTTTGTCAAAGACGGTTTTGGACCGCATGATGACTTGCTAGAAATGTCTTGCTGATTAGCTTTTATTTGTCGTTCTCTTCTTATGTCCTTATTTTTTTGACTATTCACATCGCCCCTTTCCGATGAATTATAGTTGAACTATAGCAAAAAGTCGAAGAAAAAATAAAGACATGAAATTCAAAATAGAAAATAATGATAAATGGGATTTTACTTGTATTCCATTGCTAAGTGCTTGAGTAATCTAGGCCGAATATGAACACATATAAATATGGGACAAAAATTGGAACATGGAAAAGTCGTATTCAATGATTGTTGAAGATGAGTAAATCAAATCAGTTACTGATTTCTCGTAATAGAACAGTTTACTTCCTTATACGAATTCCTAACGTGCATTCCTTGCTAACATGAAAATGCATGTTCTTAATGATCAGATTACAAGACCTTCAACTTCTAAGAAAATTTAACCTTTCGATTTTTGTTAAATACTCCAATTCAATTAATGGAAAGCTCGCTAATCAGAGTCTTCTTAGCTATGAGGAGTCTTCAAAGAATATAGAAGTATTTTCATCACTAAAAAATTCTCATGATAATCTTTTCTAATTTCTGAAGACAGAAGTCGGTTTCATGAGCGAATGTGAATTAAAGTTCGTAGTTAGCTTGTTTTATAAAATACAATCCTTAACGAATGTTGAAGTATATGGTGACTAAAGTGAGCCCCTCTGTCTCTGCTTGCCCAATAGATCGTAACAGATATGTAATAACATGTTTATCACTATCTGTGATTCTTTCGATATTGTTGTCCACATATTGACCTTCGGTTCCTTCAAACACAGTGGAAACTGTGGCGAGATTCCTACATCATATGGAACGTGACTCTATTGTATTTCACATTGTAGTTCCATGGGAGTTGGACTAAAAGCTATTTTGCACGTTTAAAAATACTCAATAAAAACGGATTCGATGCTTTATTTTAGTAACCCTCGCTATATTGTTTCTCATGAACTCAAATTAGAATGATCTTAGATACTAATTTTGTGTACATTTCCACAAGCAGTAATTTATTTTACTTCAGATGATGTACGCTGAAGGCGACAAACAGGGATTACAGCAACAGAATGCATTGTATTTGCTAATCGTTTGTGTAATTTCTGAGAGGGTATCTATTTAGATGAGCAATATCGTATTTTAAAAAACCGCTTACATTATCTGTAACCGTGCTATGATGTGTTGGACGGGTTTTCCTTGATGAACGAACTTGTACATGAATGGTATTAGTTGTGCATGTTTGCATTGTAGATCGATTATGATACTAGAAATTCATCAATGAACTATTTCGTTTCAAAAAGATTCTCGTCAAAATAACTTTACATTATAAGCAATATGGCTTTGAATGATCGATCAGACAAACAAGAAATTCTAGTCACGTTGGCTAACTTTGCTAAAAACTGTCAAATAGATGATATTAGCTTGAATTGATCAGTCTGATATTTGCCGGTTTCTTCGAATTCCAACAGCAATCGTTAATACTGAATAGATGCTGGTGTAATCATCAATGACTGTATTCAAATAATAATAGAACATGACTGGATTCCATTTCGAGAATTATTTCTTTACTATACAGCATGGAAGAAATGATGAAAAATCAAGTTTTTTTGCGCATAAAATTCAATCATCGACGGTGAGCATTCAGATGAAAAAGAAAAGTTTCGCATCAACCAACACCTTACACTACCCGAATCCTCCAAACATTCATGAGAACAATGAAAATTGAGATTGAGAGGCATAAATGAATAGTCCAATAAATTCAATTGGAAATTATGTAGATGAAGTCAATATTGACTTTATAGAGATGCTTATTTGAAATCGAAAGAAAATCATAATCTCAAAGAAATAAAGGCCACTTTGAGAGTTTTGACCCCGAAAGAGTGAATACGTTTTTTTCACCCGAAACCAAAGAAAGCATTGAATAAAGTCCAGATTTTTTATGCATGAAATTATCAATCAATATCGCAAAATCAACTGTTTCATCGTAACGTATATATGCTAAAGAAACCTCAATTGCAGCTACTTTGCATTAACACAAGTCTTGCAACCCAGACTAAAGCACCTAATAAAGTGCTCATTTTATCCAGACACTTCCGTATAAGCTATCCAAGCTAAGTTTGCCGATGACTTTCTAATTTTATCACAATTTGATGGAACTAAAACAGCTTTCGAAAATCTTTTTGCTGAATCCATTAAATTAACGCAAACCTTGTGCACAATATTTGCGGAGTCTTGTGGAACAATAATGTTTTGATGATTGACGAGTTCTACTTTTAATTGATTCAGTTTATCCTTTCATTTACGGCTTAGTCAGCTCGAGTGTGAATGTGGTGTAGGTGAAATGAATACACTTAAGAACTCACACCCACATCCTCTAAGCATTTACCTCAGACAGACAACATTTAGTTGGAAATGCTACGAAAGAATATTTAATTGGACAAGAAGTAACTGGACTTGAATGTATTCATAAGGTATTTGTTTCGGTTTTCTCTTTTTTGTAGTCAAATTTGCTCAAAATTCACTAAGTTATGAGTTGGATCGATTTGTTATCAGCATAATCTTTTAATCAACATTGACTACAGCTTAATCTATAAATTTAACAGATGAGCATGCAAAAGGGCAGTAGAACAAAGATATTCCAGAAAGAAGGAGCCTGTCAACTATTAAGCGCTTTCTCTTACTATTTGAGAGCTTGATGTTTATTATTTTGTAAAACTCTCTAGCAATAGAGTTCAACATTTGGTATGATTAAGACACCACTGGTCAGCGAAAAAAGAAGAGAGGCGGAGCGGAGTATTCATCCAAAAATGAGTCATGCTTGCTGTTAGTGTATGGACCACCTGCGCGAAAGCATGCTCAATGCACATGTCTGGTAACAGTATGAGTGTCGCATGTGAATAGTCTGTATGTTAAGATAGAGATTCCAAAATCGCTTAGACATGAACTCACAGCATAATCACCAAAGCAAATTGATAATAGCGGATGATTACACTTCTGACCTATGGAAAATGTTTCATAATTCACGAAGACACACAATAACTGCGCGCATCGTTTTTGCAGAAGCTTTTTCATAAAGAACATGCATGTGACCGTTGAAATTAGTCTGTGATGTTTGTTTTTTCTGATTTTTCGAACGTTGATGCACTTTCTTTTTAATGACTCCTTTCCACACGTGACGCAAAATACGCCTCGTCGTGTTGGTTTTTTTTCTTATTCTTCGACGCCTTCTACACAATAAACAACATTCTTGGTTGGCGCATACAAAATTCAAGCGATAGTTGGCTTAAAACAATACTCGCAACTTTCTTTCCAACGTCATACAAGGTGTCCATGCTTGAAGAATCAGAGGCACACTATCACGAAAAGCCGTCGATGTATCATGCCTTTTCGATTGTTCGTCTTCTGAAAACAAGTGAATCCTCGAGTCAACAGCGTTCTCACACAAAGTCAGCACTCAAATATGTAATTTTGCCTCTCGTTTTACTTTACATCTGTCTCGTTCTCATTCCCTTCATTCATCCACCGAGCACGATGTACGATTAAGTTTATGGATCGTTCCCATATACATTACAGCATTTCGTAGTAAACATCTTAGTTTACAACGCAGGGCTACCCATATCCTATCTGAAAACCAAATTTTTGTATCAAAGTCGACATCTACAGGTTGAAATTGGTCAAGATGTCGTTGACAATAATTCACACTATGCTTTGCGCATCTACAATGACGAAAACTCTAGTGCCGTTGCCACATTGAGGCGTATTAAAGACAATTGTTTTGCTAATATTATTAGCCCCGAACATGCTTATGTTAAATTGCCGACGCCAGAACACCCAGACTTCTTCAAACGTCTTCCTTTTAACTTCGCAACGTTCTCAACAGCAACACTTCATTGCATCGGGGAGCAACTTCATATTGAGAACATTAGTGATAAGAAAATAACTATTCGTAAAAAAGAATATATCAGTGTTATAGAAAACCAATACCGAAGCAATCCGCCTCAGTTCAATGAGAACGTGTTGACGAAGTGTGGCATTTTCATGGGTACTTTGCAATACGCCAATAAGGATCATGCTTATCGACTGGGATCCGATGTTTCATACGACTTTCGTCCGCTCGACGTTGTTTTCTAGGTATCTCATCCTTCTGATACAACACGTCTTCGCGATTTGGTTCGCTTGGTCATCTACTTCTTAGTCGTTTGCATAGGCTATTTCTTTTGCCTTTTCATATGTGCTCTGTAATATCTCTATCCTTCCATACTTGGCAGCAACTGCACAAATCGAATGTGACTCCAGAGCGTCTCGATGCACTGAAATGAAAACCATCGATATCGCAACCAAATTTGAGTTAGGATGGTCAAAAATAAGACTAATCGACATTATCAATCTTGAAATAAATCATTTTGAATTAAATGAGTGTCATCTGTGTGTGCGCGTGTTGATAGCAAATAAAAAAAAATCGTGAATAA